CGTCCCTCGGGGTCTTTGCAGACAGGTAGCCGACCCTTCAGCGTCTTTTTAATAGTGTGGTGTTTTTAAATAGGCATAGCTGCTGATTGGGTAACATCTGTGACACACACCCACAAAACTGGAGGAAGGACACCTCGAAGCTGAAATCGTAGAAAACCGGTCAAAACGTTTTGAGGCTGAACACTTGACTTTCTCCCAGGCAGCTCGCAGCGGAACGGATTTAACTTTACCTTGAATAATTCTAGCCTAACAGTCGCAGGCTGAACAGACAGCAGGTAGGTCGAATTCCGAATATCATTTTACCTCTTCAGTATGCTTCGTGTAACATTTATTTCAGTAGACATTAATTCATATCTCATAATTTCAAAATGAATGAGCTTTTAGTAATTTGAACAGGACGCCTGCAAGTTTGTTGAGTCTTGGTCATCTTGTATGAATTATTACTGACATGGACTTTGTACAATGGAGGGGATTTGATAACTCTGTCAGCATTAAAACACTTTAATTTACTAAGAAACAGTATTTGCCACAAAGTTGTAACAGACAAAAGAAGCAAAAATAGATCATTCCACTGAATGGGTGCCATTTACATAAAATGTATAAATATGCATACAAATTAATTTAAAAATACTTTTTATTATTAAACAAAGTGCCCTGCACATTAATCTAATTGAAAATGCAAGATAAAGCAATTTAAACATTAATAAAATGATCTAGAACACTGAAAAATAGCATTTGTTACCGGTCCCCAGTCCCTCAAACTACACTCTACATTGTAATATCATAATTAAAATATTTGAGAGATCTAGTTTTGTGACTCCATATACCATCTATTCTTTACACATTATTTCTTCATAAATGTTTGTAATATTTTAGTTAAAATGCACATTTTACTTGTGTCCCCAATACATTTCCCCCCTCTAACAAAATTGGAACATTCCACAGGTCCCATGTTTAAGAGAAAGTTGCATCATCTGCATCTTCTGAAGGTCATGGGAATTTTATTTTCTTTATATTTAATTATATTGTAACTATGACGGAGCAGGTCAGTTACAATATTCATTCCAGTTACCTAAATTATTTCTTAGACTAAATTGTTTATTTTAAAAATAGAAATTTGTGGTGAATCACTAGAAAGTGCTCAGTGTCCTTGTTCTATTACCATGTACACCATGTCACTATATTTCATGTATTTGCTAATTATGTGCTAAAAAATCTGTCCTGTTACTCAAATACACTTTCTTCACCTCCTTAGGTTTTCCCCTAGTGTATTTGAATATTTCTGCATACTGGTAGCCAGTGCTCATTCCTGTGACCCTGTGCTTATTCCTGTTACTAAATTGTTTAGTTTTTTCATAAAAAAATAAGATAACCCACTATTTTTTTCTCTTATGATTGGTCAATCATTTATCCCAATTGTTTAATTATTATTATAATTAATTACATGATAAAAACATTGATAAACCTGAGGTTTCGGTCTCCTTCAAAACAAACAAAAAGGTGTTGCATGCATATAAATTACATTTTTAAATTGTCAGTTTTTGAACATGTAACCAACCATTTATTTAAAATAAACACTTTCTTTAGGTAAAAACAAAGGCATTATTTGACCTGCTTTTAAACATGGTTTCAAAATGACACATAAGTTTTGGACAGGACTGAGAAAAATGCAGCCATCTTCCGCTTAGAAACCTTGTAAAAGTTTAAATACAGTTGCCCGAGAGTGACCATTACATATTTTAAATAGTTTAACGTGTGTGTTATTAGATTCAGTCTTGAAAAAAAATAAAAAACTAAGCCAAATAGCACACATTCGGTGGAATAAAAGAACAATGTTTCTCTTTCAGTGTAACAGACTATAAACTCAATCCTGAGCAGACTTCAAAATAAAACAATTTCATTCATTTCAATTTGGGATTGAGCAATAAAATGAGTCAACAGACAAGAAAGGGGAAAATATGTATTTTTTGAAGTCTCAGAATTGTTTTCTGAAGTTCAAGAGACTGTCCAAAAAAATAATGTTTCCATGGTTTCTGTCCATTTTCCAAACTGCAGGATGTTTCACCAGATGGCTGGACTCTCCCTTCAATATCCGCTCAGAACCATCAGTTTTTGTCATTGTCCATCGTCTATCACACTTTTGTACAGATAAACTCACACACAAATACGATTGCAAATAAGAATTGGTATTTTTTTATCTGAAAGACTTCTCTGAAAATAAAGCCACATATCATATAGCAAGAAAAACACGTTTGAGCTGTGTGGAAGCATCATCCGCTTTAAAAGTTGTGCTGTCATTCTGTGGGAAACATTGTGTTTACAAACAATAATTGGGATTCATGTTGATAAATATGGGTATGCAGGAGGGTGATTGTAAGCAAACATTCTCAATATCATAACCCTTTCCATTATTTTGTGACTGGTAGGTCTACCCTATCTGCATTTTTGCTATCTTGATTATGAAGGACTGATACCTTTCACCGTGTTGTCCACCTTTAGATGGCCTGAATTAAATCATCCAGTGCTTAAAGTGGAAAAAAATAGGTGCCAGTACTCTCAAGTCAGTAATCAGTTTTTGGACAATGCACATTTGTTTCTTCTATATTTCAGTTGCATTGCATGTTTCCCTTTTGTGCATTGTTTGATTTGTTATTCAACATTTCTTGTTGCTGTTTTTCAGAAAACTTTTACCAAAAACCTTCAAAACATGATGGAGACATTCTGATTCTGACCTGTCCCCAGCGTCCCCAGTGTAAATGATACTTCAGTAAAAGTATGTAATTATTACAGAGAATCATTATCAAGGTAAAAGTAGCGTCGCGCTGACTCTTAGGCTATTAATAATTGTGAAAAAATGAACCGCTTTGTTTCCTTTAAAGATATATATTTGTTGTGGTTTCGGGCAGAACGGACCCAAACGCAACGCTTGTCAGTTTGGAAAAGAGGTTTATTGAGGGAAAAAAGGGAGAGACGGGAGGGGAAAAGGGGAAAGTTGGCCGCCGGGGGGCCGAGGAGCTGGCGGGGCTGGAGAGGTTCAAGTGAGGAGGCCGAGGCGAGAGGGGCGAGGAGCGCGGAGGGAAGCCGGGGGAACGCCGCGGAGGCGAGGCGAGAAGGCAGGTAGGCCAGACCAGCTGACTGACAAAACAGAAATGCGAGAGGAAGGACAAAGAAACAAAAGAACACAGGGCACTCACCGTCAGCCGGGCTGCCACCGCAACTTATATTTATATTATAATGTAAATTTATGAACAAAATTAAATTCCTTTGATCGCCTAAACTTCATTCACAAACTATACTATCCTGCACACTGAGGTTTCTTGTGTTTAGAGTCAGTTAGAAGTCAAACTCTCTGAAGGACTTTTTTGAACAAACTGTTATAAAACTCCATGTTAGAGAAATTCAAACAGACTTATTTGGGGTTTGGGAGGAGCTGCTTGAAACGTGTTGCCATCATTCACAAATAAAGAGCAGATATATTGTATTTATTCAGGTTTTAGAGCAAGTAATGTGTCGTTTATTTTAGACTAGTGAAACGTGATATTTTGAAAACATGAAGCAGAAACATCACTTTATTGAGTGTTGCTGGTGTAACAGATGAACAATCTAGCAATAAGTGAAACATGTTTAGTCTGAAAGCTCAAAAACTGACCTGTTAGAAAGACAAAGGATAAAATGAATTAAACTGTAAATCAAAATCTGAGCTAAGGTAACTCAGGAACCTTAAGTGTTTTTGCTGGATTGAATATTTATGTTAAAATGTTTTGTCCTTTACAGACTTACTTTATGTCACAGTTATCTTCTGGATGGAGTTTCCAGCTCAGTGATTTTATAAATCCTCAGACTTGATATTCTCTGTTTTTGTATGACTCACAGTTTGGTCGTGTCTGCTCTTTGATCTGATCCTTGTTTGAGTCTGTTTTCCTGTTTCTGTGTTTGATAGGGTTTGGTTTTGTATCAGCGTGCTCGTCCTGTTCCTGGTTTTGAACTTGTCTGTGCAGAATTGATTGTGCAGCCAAATTTTTTACTGAAATTACACAATATTTTTGTCTTATTTGTTTTTTTGAATATAACGTTTGTACAGACGTTTCATTAACTTGCTTTAATATAATAAACAATTACATAAGTTCAACAGTGACTCCGGCTGCAGGAAGTGGACATTAAGGACTCTGGATTTTATTTCAGGACCAGTCAAGACCATAACTTTGGGAATATCAATAAATTGCTTTTGCATTGTCTGATTTATTTGTTAACATCCAACTTTGATTGGATGTGAAAATAATTGCTTCAAATGCAACCAATAACCCTAATTTAAAATGTGTTGTTCCCGTTAATGACTGTCACCCCTCCCCGCGATGCTTAAGTTGATTTCAGCTCTTAGTGTTTGTATGTGTGTTTTAATGGGAAAGTGGATCTTTCAGATCAATTTGAGAAGTACCTATGATCTCGTTCCACATTTTAATGTGTCATGTAATGTGGGGAACTGGTCTTGGTCTCGACTGCTCTCAGACCCTAAAAGTCTTGGTCTTGTCTCGGGTCTCAATAGACTCTGGTCTTGGTCTTGACTTGGTCTCGGTTTGGGCGGTATTGACTACAACACTAGTGTGTGTATATATATATTGATTAGCCTAGTTCACACTACACGATTTTTAGCTAGATTAGGTGGTTTATTAGAGGCTGTTTGTACGTGCGTGCATTAGCAGGACGGCCGTGGTGGATTATACTGTAGACTGTTCTAGTGGGCCGGTCTGGATCACAGTCCAGGGCCATTTTTTACTCCCAGTCCAACATGGAAGTTGGAAATGCATTTGCAATTTCAAACTAAATCTACTGCATGAGCAAGTTGCAGTTGGTAAACCAGAGTGAAGATCCCAGTCTACCCTCGGTGTCTTTGCAGACAGGAAACAATCCTTCATACTTGTCACTGCTGATTGGGTAACAGCTGACACTCGCTGCAAAGGCAAGCAAGGAAATATGTCGTTCAACCAGGCGTCACCTGAAACCCCATCAAACCGGTCCAAAACTTTTGAGATTAAATGTGCCCATGACTTTCTCTAAGGCTGGAGGGGCGTGACAGTGTCAGTTTTTAACTAACTTTACCTCGATTAATAATTTGGCTTAACAGTCGCAGTCGGTGAACCAACAACAGGTACGTCAAATTCTGAATGTGTCATTTTAAATAATTAATATCAAGTCATGTCAAAATGGATCAGCTTTAGAGCTTTTAGTCATTTGAACAGGACGCCTGAGAGTTTGACAGCAACCTGTCAGATAGACCTGTCATTTTAGATTAATTATTAGCCCACTGGCACTTTGTACAATGAAAAGGTTTTTAATGAAACGAGTGAGATTCAGACCTTTTTTAAAATTTGCTACGGTGCAGTCTTTGCCACAACAAAAGTTAAACTATTTCTACTACACAGATTTTTCTGTCTGTGTTGACAAAGCGAAAGTAAAAGTCACCACATGTTTCATTATAGTACTGTCGTTGAAGTTCAGTGAAGTCTGTAAGGCTTTGTTTAAATTCAAACAGAGAACATAATATTTTATATATAGCCTATATATGTGTGTTTGTGTGTATGTAAACATGTAACTAATTAGTAATTCATTTAATTTTTTTTATTAGAACTACTGTATAAGCAACATAAGCAGAACATATCAAATCACACGAGTTCAAGAGAGTCTTTTCCACACAATAATGTTTCCATGGTTTCTGTCCATTTTCCAAACTGCAGGATCACCAGATGGCTGGACTGTCTCTTCAATATCCACTCAGAACAATCAGTTTTTTCATCGTCCATCTTCTATCACACTTCTGTACAGGTAGACTTACACACTAAAATAACTTTCATTTTTGGTTCACAGCTGGTTTCTGCTGACCAGCTAATGATAAATAAACTACCGTAATACTTGATACCTTACTTGATGTACTTTGGACAACTGCGCCGATACAGGTGGATGTATTTTAAATAAAGGGTGTATAACCTACAAGTAAGGAAAGATGATTCCTGCTTCGTTTTGAAAGAGCTGGATCCATCCATACCGGTTGAAATGGGCATTACCCATTCTGATAGTAGGCTACTGTTCACTAGGCATTGTTACAGTATAGGCCAAACTTAAAAAGTTCTTGAGGTGAGCTGGTAGGCTACTCACCGGTACCGACCTGTGCTTTTTACTTGCGCACAGCTGGTATTTCTTACAAGACCCACCTTATACTCTGTCTTGTTGACCTAGCTGAGGAGTGGATCTTTTGCTGCCTTCCAGCGCTGTGAGAGTGAAATACAGCTGTTGTGTTTATGAACATGTGTTCATATATGCGTGTGCAACAAATGAATCTCAGCTTGCAGCAGCAACCTCTGTGGGAACCAGTCCACACCCATTTTTAGTATCCAAGACAATGATTATCTAGTCTCTTTGTCAAGATCATCAGAATCAGAATCAGCTCTATTGCCAGGTGTGTCTACACATACAAGGAATTTGACTCTGGATTGTACAATGCTCACGATGCATACTTATACAATAAGACAATAATAGTCAAACACAGGCTAGTACAGAGAACATATATATACACACTATGAACAAAACAGACACATCGAGACAATAGTGCAATGAGCAGAGTGCAAAAGATGCAGGAGAAAATCATTAATTATTATTACCATTATTGTTATTATTAAGTACATGTCAGAGGTGGTTGTAATATACAGGTGCACATACACATACAAGCATACATGTACACAGTGTGATGAGTGCAAAAGATGCTGGAATAAATAAGTATTATCTGCAAGGGATATGTACATGAGGTAGGTGGATTTGGTATACAGTATGTACAATATTATTTATTGAGGATCTAGCACAACAGGCAGAAGAAGAAGCAGGAAAGACCAACCTGAAAGACCTATACCTAACTTTAAGAAAGCTCACAGGCAAATTCAGACACGCACAGGCACACGTTAAAAACTCACAGGGTGTACTCCTCATAACCAAGGAAGATCAGGTGAAGAGATGGTCTGAACACTTCAGAGACCTGCTCAACAGGCAGCAACCTCTACTGACAGCAATAGCTCCAAACCCACTGGAGATTAACTGCAACCCCCCCACCAAGATGGAAATTAGAAAAGCCATTAAAATAAATAGAATGGAATTTGCCTGTTTATGTGAATTTCATAGATTTTGAAAAAGCCTTTGACTGTGTAGACAGGGAAAGTCTGTGGAAACTGATGGCTCATTATGGGATCCCAGAAAAGCTCATTAACATCATAAGGAGCACATACCAAGGGACGAGATGTCAAGTCCTCCATGAAGGATGTATATCGGAGACATTTGAGGTCCTGACTGGTGTGTGGAAACAGCTGGTCTGCTTGGTCTCAAAATAAACTCATCAAAAATTAAAGTATTGCGTATCAACAGCAAGAACAGCACATCCATAACCATGGATTAAAATGCACTAGAGGATGTAAACAACTACACATACCTCGGTAGCACGGAGGACGATGTCCAAGCCAGGATCGGAAAAGCAAGGACAACTTTCAACATGCTAAACAATATTTGGAAGGCAAAAAACCTGTCACTCAAGACCAAACTGCAAAACTTCAACTCAAACATAAAAACCACTCTACTTTATGGCTCTGAAACCTGGAGAATTACCACCACTATACTTAATAAGCTGCAGACCTTCACCAACTGGCCTCAGACGCCTTCTAGGAATATACTGGCCCAACATCATCTCTAACGCCAACATGTGGGAACTCACCAAACAAGACCCAATAGAAATGCAAGTTCGGAGGAGGAAATGGAAGTGGATAGGGCACACACTCAGGAGAAATAAATAAATCACTAAACAGGCACTGACATGGAACCCACAGGGCAGGAGGAAGAGAGGCAGACCGAGAACCACCTGGAAAAGAACCACAGAACAGGAGATGAAGAAAGAAGGGCTGACGTGGCAACATCTGGAGAGGAGGGCGCAAGACCGGAGAGGATGGAAGAGCTTCGTCGATGGCCTATGTTCCTATGGGAATTTAAAGGCTTAACTAACTAACTAACCATATACAATATGAACAGTATGAACAGCTCTGAAATTGTATGTTAGGCAGGATTCACAAACAACACTCAGAAAATGCAGAGATGCAAGGAATTTGGCCAGAGCAACTGAAGCACGGGAGGTAAACTGACGAACTGGCGAAGAGTGGGAGCTGAACCGAGGTAATTGACTGCATGGGTTGATTACTGGATGAGCCAGGATTATTGCACAGGAATTGTTCCTGACACTGTGAGTCAGAAATCAGCTGTTCATCAGTGTGATGGCTTGTGGGAAGAAACTGTTCCTGAGTCTGTTGGTTTTGGCGTACAGAGCTCTGTAGCACCTACCAGAGGGGAGGAGCTGGAACAGGTTGTGTTCGGGGTGAGATGGATCTGCAGTGATGTTTCCTGCCCGTTTCCTGACTCTGGAAAGTCCTGAATGGAGGGCAGGTTGGCACCGATGATCTTTTCTGCAGTGCTGACTGATTATAGCTGTGGACTAATGCAAAATAGAAACCGATGGACTGACATTGAGTCATAGTTTGTTTATTTTCATTCATCCACCTACTGAATATACAAATGAACAAAATGCTGTTTCTGGTGGTCCAGTGTGCTAAAAACAAAGTCACAACAGTCTCATTCAACTAACAAGACAAGACACTATTAAAACAAAAATTAGAGATGGCATTTGTTTAATGCTGCAGTCCTACATTCATTAAATTATTAAACCAAGCAGCCACCATCACCAATGTAAACACGCGGCCCTCTGTCATCTCGCTGGAGGCTTGCGCTGTGACAGAAAATGGTGCTTCGGGACACTGATGATGCAGGTCTGTGTACAGATGTCAGCTTAACCGTCTTCAATTTCTCATTGTTTGGAGTCCCATATCCTCCAGACGGATATTTACCAAGCTGGGCCAGCATGGCTCTATCCCAGCCCCCACCGTAGTGCCTGGTCCTTTTGATGAGGTACATAAATGTGCCTATTGAGCAGTAGTACTATATCAACAAAGGAAATGCTTGGTTCAGATAAAATTTAATAAGCTGATCCATGCTTGAGTGTTGCACTGAGAGAAGCCGACTGTACTGCTCAGAAAGAACAGAAGAAGAAAAGTGTTGCAAGGGAACGTAAAAGTAGTCCTCTTGTGAGCCTTCGGAGCCACCGTAAATATGAGCCCCTCAACAGTGTAAACACACTATTTACTATCCATCCATCCATCCATCCATCTTCATCCGCTTATCGTCGCAGGGGGAGCAGCTCCAGCAGGGAACCTCAAACTTCTCTCTCCCGAGCCACATTAACAAACTTTGACTGGGGGATCCCGAGGCGGACCCAAGCCAGTGTGGAGATATAATCTCTCCACCTAGTCCTGGGTCTTCCCCGAGGCCTCCTCCCAGCTGGACGTGCCTGGAACACCTCCCTAGGGAGGCTTCCGGGAGGCATCCTCCCTGATGCCCAAACCACCTCAACTGGCTCCTTTCAATGCAAAGGAGCAGCGGCTCTACTCTGAGCTCCTCGCGGATGGCCGAGCTTCTCACCCTAGACACCAGCCACCCGCCTGAGGAAACCCATTTTGGCCGCTTGTACCCGCGATCTCGTTCTTTCGGTCATGACCCAGCCTTCATGACCATAGGTGAAGGTAGAAGCGAAAATCGACCGGTAGATCGAGAGCTTTGCCTTATGGCTCAGCTCTCTTTTCGCCAACTATTTACTTTAAAAATGTAAAAATAAATATCACAATATCTGTCAAAATGTACCCACTGTCATTTTTTTGGTATATGGTTCAGATTTACTTTATAAAGCTGAACTAATTAAACTATTTTTTCTGCAAGAGCTTATAACAATATTTTGTTTCCTTCCAGGTCACTCTCAGTTAATTGGTTCTCCTCGGCCAATAGTGGCAAAAGTTGGCGATGACGTCATCTTGCCATTTCATCTGCAGCCTGCAGTGGATGTTGCTGCCAAGACTTTTGAGTGGGCAAGACCAGACCTGAACCCCAGATTTGTTTATGTGTGGCGTGCTGGTCAGGACATTGTAAAAATAAAAAATCCTTCCTACAAAGGAAGAACAACTCTGTTCACTGATGAACTGAAGCACGGAAACATTTCACTGAAACTCTCCAAAGTGAAACTTTCTGATGAGGGGAGATACAAATGTTACATTCCAGATATGAACACAGACGCCTCCGTTGAGCTTGTTGTTGGTGAGTAGATACATGATGTATGTGTAGTGCAGTTTGGTGTGTAGTCTGTGCAGCGGATCCAGTGAATAACTGAGGGATCAAAACAGCTTTCAGCCATTCATGTTGGGACATGGACAGTTCAGCTACAGCCATCAAACACCAGTTTAACGGTTACATGTTTACAGAACAGCTAAATTGCACATGTTCTGGCAGGAAATATTTCCCTGTTTCTTAAGGTAGTTTATATAAATATAATACATACAGTCATAAAATAGACACAATGTGATGTGACTAACTTTATGAAAGACTTTCAAATAGATGTTAGCTGATCCTTCATTAAGCCCTGCACCCCAATCTTACAGCTGTCAGGCTTTAGATCTACTGTCATAGAGTATTGATGTGGTTTACAAGAATGGTGGAAGCAGATTTATTTTTCAAAATAAATATGTGAAACAACTTGTCCTTAATTATTCTTTTTTTTATTATTTACATCAAAGATTTAAAGAACTGTTGTGCCTGGCCAGATCTCACAGTTCGCCTCCAAAATCTTGACACATAGTGACTCTCACTACAACCCCATTTACAGTGGGACATTAAGCTAAACGCAACCATCAGAATGTAACAAGAGGAATGAGGTTCATCTTCACAATGTCAATACTAACATGCTGACGTTTAGCATGGTTTATATTTGACCTTGTTGTAGTTTAATGTGTTAACATGTTAACATTTGATCATTTGGACCAAACAAAGTGAGGCTGGAATCTCATTAGTTTTGTAAATATTTACCAAAGTATTGGACACAATGAAATGTTGTAGATTTACATTTATACATCTTTTAAATTATTAATGCAGTCTTTGTAAATCTGAACTGTATTTTAATTGTTCCTCTTGCTCAACATCAGGGGCCGTCTCCTCACCTGTCATCAGTTTAGCAGGGATTGACAGACACAAAGGGGGAGTGGTGTTACAGTGTGAGTCTGCAGGCTGGTATCCAGAGCCTGAGGTGTTTTGGCTGGACGGTGAGGGAAACCTCCTCTCTGCTGGACCTACAGAGACAGTCAGAGGTCCTGATGACCTCTATACTGTCAGCAGCAGAGTGACTGTGGAGAAGAGACACAGCAACAGCTTCACCTGTAGAGTCCAACAGAAGGACATCAACCAGACCAGAGACACTCACATCCAGGTTCCAGGTAGAAATGATTGATGATGTGATCAATGTTTTAGTTTCAAATAGCTGAAGTCTAGTGTTCTATAAACCATGTTATTTTGTGTTTTATCGTTTCAGATGATTTCTTTGAGGTCCAGTCCAGTTTGTCCCCCATCACGGTTGGATTGGCTGTTTGTTTGGTTGCTTGCATCATGATCATTTTGTTACTTATCTTTTCTGTGTGGAAATGGAGACAGAACATAATCAGTGAGTACCAAATTATTTGCAGATTAATGGGACATATTGATATGATTTGTGGGTGGCAATGGAGCAGTGGATAAGACACATGCCTTTGGTGTGAGAAACCCTGGTTTGATTCACCATTGAGTCCCTGAACAAGACACTTGACCCGTCCTTGCTCTAGAGGTGTGCGACCTCTGTCGTATATAGCGATTGAATGTCGCTTTGCATAAATGTAGTTGTGTAAATTTAATTTGATCAAAATATCAGTAGTTTTTAAATGTGGTGTTTTTTCTATTTAATTTCCAGTCAGTCAAATTGTCAGGTGTCTTATTTTAGACTCAAATGTCTCATATGCTGTGATGCAAGAACATGTCTTTAATACTTTAATTCTACTGCCTGTATTTTCACACAGACTGCAAGAGAAGCCACAGGGATGAAACTGATGAAGGAGAACAGAATGACCGCTTTAAAAGTAACAAAACTGAAGTTCAGGTTAACACTGAAGCAGAAAGAGAGCAGCTCATGACAGATGAAACAGTGCCAACGAAGGATTTGAAGAACAGAAAAGGGGAAAGGGAGAAAACACATGTAAATTCACAACTTATTTCTGCTGCCCCTCAGTGGCTAAAGATGCAAAAGAGCAGTGACTTGGCTCCATCCAACTGGAAAATTGCTGCTTAAATCTCACAGTTGCTGTTTTATTTTATCTGGTCAGAGGGAAGAGAACAGAAAAAGTGTGCTTAAATACTTTGTTTGCTAAAATCAGGTGTTTTTGAGGCAAAGTCTTTGTTCCTGAACAGAGTTATTAAACTTCAATAATTGTAGTATTTGATGAACAAATAATTCTTGTTGAATTAATTCAACAATCTGTTCATTTGCACAATTTTATTTGCCAGTTTATGCTGTTGTGGTACTCCCCTCCCTTCCCTGACTAATGTAGCCTATTCATCTCTTATTGTTCTAATACCACCTTCCTAATAGTGCATTTTCAGGTTCTCTATATGTTCTCTATTTATATAAACATGTGTTTGCCACACACAGTAAATCTAATACAGAAATGAAGACAGCATAACATCACAACAGACATGATCTTTCTTAAACTGACCAGAATACTCATATAAATATGCAAAGTTACTTTAAACTGTATTCAGCTTCATCTTCAGCACAACAGAGCCTGCAGGGAAACAGGGCCCAGGTCAAAACAATGGTCCTTGAAGTAGACTTGATTTTCTTTCTGTCTTATTCTTCATTATAAATCAAATTTCCCACATGTCTAAAGAAAGAGAACATATCCACATATACGCTCTAATCTTGTCTTTCTTCATCTTTGCTCTTCCCCCAGCCTGAAGAAAAACTAGCTGAAACTGAAAAGCAGCTCCAGGATGAGAAGAGGAGGAGGGAGGAAGCTGAAAAACAAAGGGAGAGCATACAGAAAGAGGTTTTTCCTTTCACTTTAATCTCTCTCTATTTATCTAAACATCTTCCCTCTATATCTTCTTCTAAGACTATTGTCTTATTGATGAATGGAAACATCTCCACTGACTTCTGCTTTCAGTTTTCTCATTAAATCTGTCTCACAGATACACTCCATTCTTCTGTTGGAGCTTCCTCTGTTTCATATTAATGAAAAATATCCAGGGACCAGTAACTTTACCATGGGAATGAAGAAAAACACTTGAGGCAGAAAGACTGTCTGGTCATTAATCAGTTTTCTCCACTGACTTACAGTCAAAGACAGAACTGTGACTTTGTTAATCTAAAGGTAGAAAACTGCTGCTTTAAAAATGCTGCACAAGTCACATGGAGTAAATTTCTGTCACGTCTTATTGTTTCTAACTCACATACTTTAATAAGAAAAAAATGTCTCTCATCTTCAGTGTTTATCTTCTCTCTCTTCAGGTCGAGAAGCTCAAAGAGGAGAAGCAGAGGAGTGAGGACGAAAAGAAGCAGCTACAAAAGCAGCTGGCGACCAAGACAAAAGAGGTTCATCTGTCATTGATATTGATTTGTTTCCACAAACCTATTTGTTTGTTTTTAGTTTGAAATCATACAGTTTATTTTTATTTTATTTTATCTGGTAAGAGGGAAGAGAACAGAAAAAGTGTGCTTAAATACTTTGTTTGCTAAAATCAGGTGTGTTTGAGGCGAAGTCTTTGTTCCTGAACCGAGTTATTAAACTTCAATAATTGTAGTATTTGATGAACAAATAATTCTTGTTGAATTAGTTCAACATTCTGTTCATTTGCACAATTTTATTTGCCAGTTTATGCTGTTGTGGTACTCCCCTCCCTTCTCTGACTAATGTAGCCTATTCATCTCTTATTGTTCTAATACCACCTTCCTAATAGTGCATTTTCAGGTTTACTATTTGTTCTCTATTTATATAAACATGTGTTTGCCACACACAGTAAATCTAATACAGAAATGAAGACAGCATAACATCACAACAGACATGATCTTTCTTAAACTGACCAGAATACTCATATAAATATGCAAAGTTACTTTAAACTGTATTCAGCTTCATCTTCAGCACAACAGAGCCTGCAGGGGAAAAGGGCCCAGGTCAAAACAACACCTTAATCTCTATGTATTTATCTAAACATCTTCCCTCTATATCTTCTTCTAAGACGATAGATTGATGGATGGAAACATCTCCACTGACTTCTGCTTTCAGTTTTCTCATTAAATCTGTCTCACAGATACACTTCTTTCTTCTTCTAATTGCTCATAATAAACCTCATGAGACAAGACGTGTGAGGGCGGTTTTGCTGGGGAGATGGGGACTGGACGCAAACACAGATGAAACAGACTTTTAATGCAAAGCTGAGCTGACATGCATGAGGATGGCAGGTCTGGGGAGGTTAGAGAAAGAATATGTTCTGATAGAGAGAGTAATGCAGAGGGCTGGGGAGGCGAGTGTGGCTGAAGAGACGGACAGGGGAGGAAACTCAGACAAGATGTGAAGCTTTTTAATCCACCACATGTATAAAGTAGCTTCTGATTATTTCAGGCTTATTCTTCACAACACTGATATGTTTATGTTTTCAGTTACCAGTAACTTTATTTATACCAATCGAACAGAACATACTAGTCTCCCTGAACAACTGACAGGTGTTCCTGAAAAATGTACATCAAGACAGTTTAAATATGTGCATGGCAACAGTTTGCTTCAAAAAAAAATATTACTCATCATGTTTTTGTTCACCTCTCTACTTCCTCGCAGAATGATGAAAAGTTTCATGTTGAGCAGCAGAGGTTTCTTTCACCTTAATCTTTCAGTTTCTGTTGAGATGTCTCCAGATTTGCTCATGTTAACGGTCAGACTGTCGCTTCCTGCAATAAAACACTACTGATTAATCAACATCTGTCTGTCTGTTAGAATGAGAACATCAAAGAGGCAGCTGACAGGAACAAAGAGGAGCTGAAGGAAACTCAAGAAAAGTTGGAAAAAAGGAATGCTGAGAACAGGGATCTGAAGAAAGAAGTACATACACACACAAAATCCCTGTCTGTACATGTGATGTTTCATTGATCACTGCTGAGGTGTTGATTCTGTTAAACTGAATGCTGAGTCAGCAGCAGCAGGAGTACACAGTCACAGTGTCTGATATTTGGGTGTTGGAGCTTCCTCTGTTTCATATTAATGAAAAATATCCAGGGACCAGTAACTTTACCATGGGAATGAAGAAAAACACTTGAGGCAGAAAGACTGTCTGGTCATTAATCAGTTTTCTCCACTGACTTACAGTCAAAGACAGAACTGTGACTTTGTTAATCTAAAGGTAGAAAACTGCTGCTTTAAAAATGCTGCACAAGTCACATGGAGTAAATTTCTGTCACGTCTTATTGTTTCTAACTCACATACTTTAATAAGAAAAAAATGTCTCTCATCTTCAGTGTTTATCTTCTCTCTCTTCAGGTCGAGAAGCTCAAAGAGGAGAAGCAGAGGAGTGAGGACGAAAAGAAGCAGCTACAAAAGCAGCTGGCGACCAAGACAAAAGAGGTTCATCTGTCATTGATATTGATTTGTTTCCACAAACCTATTTGTTTGTTTTTAGTTTGAAATCATACAGTTTATTTTTATTTTATTTTATCTGGTAAGAGGGAAGAGAACAGAAAAAGTGTGCTTAAATACTTTGTTTGCTAAAATCAGGTGTGTTTGAGGCGAAGTCTTTGTTCCTGAACCGAGTTATTAAACTTCAATAATTGTAGTATTTGATGAACAAATAATTCTTGTTGAATTAGTTCAACATTCTGTTCATTTGCACAATTTTATTTGCCAGTTTATGCTGTTGTGGTACTCCCCTCCTTTCCCTGTCTAATGTAGCCTATTCATCTCTTATTGTTCTAATACCACCTTCCTAATAGTGCATTTTCAGGTTCTCTATATGTTCTCTATTTATATAAACATGTGTTTGCCACACACAGTAAATCTAATACAGAAATGAAGACAGCATAACATCACAACAGACATGATCTTTCTTAAACTGAACTGAATACATTGCCGAGTATAAAGCCTTTCTTTCTGTCAGTTACACTTTGTGATGTATAGAAATATATATCATGGATTACAGGCAATTAAATATGCACAACAGAGCCTGCAGGGAAACAGGGCCCAGGTCAAAACAATGGTCCTTGAAGTAGACTTGATTTTCTTTCTGTCTTAGGCTTCATTATAAATCAAATTTCCCACATGTCTAAAGAAAGAGAACATTTCGCTCTAATCTAAAAAGGGTGGTGATGGTGCAATGGGTAAGATGCCTGCCTTTGGTGTGAGAGACCTGGGTTCAATCTCCCTCTGTGACCCATCCACCATTGTGCCCCTTAGCAAGACATTTAACCCCTAGTTGCTTCAGAGGCGTGCAACCTCTGACATGTATAGCAATTGTGGATAAAAGCGTCAGATAAATGTAATCTTGTCTTTCTTCATCTTTGCTCTTCCCCCAGCCTGAAGAAAAACTAGAACTAGGACAGGGGAGGAAACTCAGACAAGATGTGAAAACTGCTGTTTTCTGTAACATGAAAAGTTAAAAATGCTGCACAATTCAGACAATGGAGTACCTACCATGTCTTAATGTTTATTCTCACACCTTCAATTAGAGAAAATGTCTCTCATCTTCTGTTTTTTATCATCTCTCTCCTCAGGTCGAGAAGCTCAAAGAGGAGAAGCAGAGGAGTGAGGACGACAAGAAGCAGCTGCAGAAGGAGCTGGAGACAAAGACAAAGGTTCATCTTTCATTGATACAGATTTTTTTTCCCCACCCACATATTTGTTTGTTTTAATTCTCACAATTATGGCTTTATTTTATCTTAAGCTTATTCAATGTATAACAGCAGAAACCACTCTAAGATTTTGGCTTTACTTCCTCATTGTTTGATCCCACAGACACCCTCTGTTGTGTGTATAAATTAACAGTTTTAAAATCAACCACTTTCTTTCCTTCCATTCTTTTTTCTTATGACCTCAAAACATAAAGAACTGTATTCCAGTAGTAACCATTTGATGAAGGTGGCAAAACCAAATCAAATATATATAAATAGTCCTTTGTCATTCTTGATGAAAAATTCATGAAATAAAAAGTCTCTATCTCTCCTCTCCCTGTTGAAGGAGCAGCCTCACCATGAGCAGAAGATAGCAGAGGAAGCTGAGAAAAACCTGGAGGAGGTTAGTCTTTTCACCCAAATCAATCTTTTTTTATCTTCTCTATGTGACACTGATTTGTTACTGAGACCAAGCTGATCAAACTAGCCATGAGAGCAAATCTGAGACACTGATTGACCATTTGTGAGACTGATCAGACCCAAGTGTCACACACACACACACACACACACACACACACGTAGTACATACAATGCTTAGTTAGTTAGTCTTGAATGACTAAACTGTGTGTGTTGTCTCCCTCTCAGCGCGATAACACCAGTACTGCCAATCAAGGACCATGAGGAAAGGTTACTGTCCATCACACCAAAATGCTGATCAGTAAATAATGCTGTAACATTAAACATCAGGAACAGCACGACTCAGATCTTCCTGTAAAAACACATGTTGTAGTGACGTCCAGTGAACACGAGATCACATCACATCCTGATCTGAAATCAACAAAATGAGACTTTTTTTATTAATGTTGAATCAAATCTTGTTACATTTTTGTTTTTCTGGTATTTTCAACAATTCAGAACACTTTTTGTCTGAAAGTTCTGAACTCAAGACAAAGACTAAAATAATTTAAACTCTAAACCAAAGTGTGAGTTTATGTAACTCTGAAACCTTTTTATTTATTTTTGCTGAATTGAAAATGTATATTAAAAAGTAGATTTTTTTTGTTATCCTTTGTCGTGTTGTTATTCAGTGTTTTATGTCAATTTAAGATTCTCCGTTCCATGTTTGTGTAATAAAGAGATAAAATGCCATAAATTCAAATATGCTTTTTTCAGATAAAACTTTTTATTATATATAAATATACAAATTTGAATTTATGTGTGATGTTGAGTGATGTTTGTACATCTCTTGACATTTTGCTAGATTATTTGTGCTATAGGATATGTAAATAACTGAATCTCTTCTCCTCTAACAAGTGATTAAAGGGAGAGGGATTTTTTAAATGGGGCTGTGTGAGGAGCTTATCCATAGTCGGTCAGCGTTTCCCCAGTTTGAAGAAGTATAGAGTTGTACCAGCGTGGAAGCTAAGCAATACACTGCTGTGGACAGAGTCAGCAGCAAAATGTATTTTAGCCTCTTAATATTTTAAAGGTCGCCACTCCCCTCCTCCTGTGTAGGATAGCTATGGTGGCCGATGTAGGACAAAAGATGTCATCGTCTGAGATAGAGAGAGGCCAGTCAATAAATGGGATTTCTTTTGATGGATATATTAAGACTTGTATTTACTTGTAACCACATGTTATTGTGAATATTATTGTTACTTGTTCAACAAATAACAGCAACATCAAGAAATGTGCTACATGATGTTGCAGCCTCCTGTAATACATAATTTTACCGTATTATAATCATGCATTTTGCTACATCTTGGAAGGGTTGGCTCATACAAACTGTATTGTATGAAACATAGGGCTACTAAAACCATGTGTTGTTTAGAGGTCTGTGTAGGAGCCATTTATGTTTATTGTTGGTATGATATTTTATTTTTGTTTAGATTTATTTATATTAGTATTTTGGACACTGGGTGGCAGTGATTAGATGCACATGGGTGTATATAGAGGGCATAGGTGACAGGAAGTGGGAGGCACAGGTAGGGGGAGCACAAACAGTTCTCACCAGACCACAAACCTCAACTGCAATAATCTCTCTGGAAAATCATCTTGTGTGTCTGCGTAAAAAACTTCACTCCTGCCTGTGCACGATGGCAAAGAGATTGGTAAAAGTAAAGCGAGGAAAAATTGCCATAACAGTGTAGTTCCATGTTGTCCCACCAGAGAGCGCAATACACTCCAGCGTTACGAACAGACTGTATGAGGATTAGTAGAGAGTGCCACGTGTTGTCCTCTCATCCCTTGCAGATCTCTTCCCGAAACGTCCTGGAAACGTGTGTAAACGCAACATAATGGTGTGAAACTTTGATTATATCCACGTACCTACACTGATAAGCTCCTTCATTAGTAGAGCATCAGCTGTGAGCACGAGAGGAGCAGCCTGTGTCGGGTTGTTGTTGCCGTTTGAAACTCCGGTGAGTTGAAGCATGTTTTTGCTAGCTTGTTGCTAAGCACAGTGAGCAGAAAAACACACTGTAAGGTTCAGATACTTAACGGAAAAACCAATCGGGGTTATAAGACTGTTGTGTAATGTTTCAGTGTACTTTAGTGCATATTGTATCATTGTATTTATGCTCTTAAAAGATCGTTAGCTAATAGCTAATGCTAGCTACGCGCTAATCGCTAAGCGCCAAGCTAATAGTTTATTATTTTACTCTTCAGATAACTTCAAGCTTTGGTTAGTTAGAAAATGTGTAGCTTGGTGGAAGTGTTTGAAGCTATAGTGCAATGCATACATTTTTGTTGGTATTAAAACATTAAGTTAATAGAGTTAAATACTAATGACACAATAATGATCTGTAGCCAACTACAGTGTCTGATTTGGTTTATTACGATGTACATGTTAAATTTGTTAGCACTGATAATTTAATTCAATTCATGTTAAAAAGTGCTAATATTAAAATACCTTAAAAGCAGTTAAGGAAAAGGGATGTTACATATAAATGTGGTGATAAATAATTAATTTGTCAATGTCAAAATACAAATTGTTGATATGTAGAAGTGTATGATATGTAGTGCTAAAATACCAGTTGCCATTACATGTGGTTATTTTGACTACCACGAGAGAAATAGACGAATCCGAGATGGCGAGCCCAGCCCAAAGAGACGGTGGATGGTTGTGAAAACGGTGTGGCCAACCGAGGGACCAGCCACCGAGGACGTCGGACTAACTTCGTTCAGACAGGATACAGATAAGAACACATTCATGCTATTAACTCTACCGGGGTGGTAGTAGTAGACTTTATACACACACACACACACACACACACAAAAGGACCAGGAACTGAACTCTGAACTCAGTTTCAAACTCCTCAATTTATAGGAGCATTGAGCTGAAGTGTCAGCTCACACAGACATTTTCTTTTATTACTGAAACAGCTGAATTTTTTTGTTTTATTTTCATTCTTAGTACATTACAGCGCTGTGTTTATTGTTTTCCTGAGGCAATAAAACTGTCGACTATTCAACTCGATACTAAGTATTTTGTGAGTCACTCAAGGCAGACCACACCCCAGACACCCTAGGTAGATGTTAGTTGCTCTATTCTGGTATTGGTTAGCACTAGGGAGTAAATGTAAATGAAGAACATCTCAAAAACTATCACATCTGGTGCAAGTGATGATCTTGGCCACTGACGGATAACATGGAAAATGTGTGTAACAGTGTCACTGTTTCTGCACCACGGTCCATTATAAACATCATGGAAGAAGCAAAACAAATGTGGGTGAGTCCTGCCCTCCTCTGGAGTAGATACCATTTTCTGTTTTCTGGTGCCTTTTAATTGGCATTATATCAACATAGTGTAACTGTAATTAAATGCTGCTACAAAGACTACATGATGCCTTTAAAATCAGCAGGTGAACAAGTGGTGAACATTCACTTCAATACCAGCTTGTTTAGGTACATTAGGTTATGTGAGCACGCAGCCAGACTCACCTTCTGCATATAAATGTGTTCCCATATGTACTTTGATACTGACTGTATGAATGAGAAAATTAAATGGTGTGTCAGACGGCTGCTTTACGCTCCGCAGGAGGGGAGGAGTCAGAGAGAAACTCAAGAGTTTGTTAAAGTAAACCTCCTCCTGTAAGTTGCCGGAGTTACTGATCAAGGGTTTATCTGATCTCGGACTCCGAAACAGAAAACCAAGTTTCCCTAATCTCAGACTTAACATACTCAGAGTTTTCATTAAATTTACATTTATTACATTTAGCACACACTTTTATCCAAAGCGACTTTCAATTGCTATACATGTCAAGAGGTTGCACGCCTCTGGAGCAACAAGGGGTTAAGTGTCTTGCTCGGGTGTCTTGTCCTCATTCATTCATTCAGTAATCCCGTTTTCTCAATCAGGGCCCTGAGCAGATGCCGAGATGCTTTGTTTACCTTGCTGTGTCGCAGGAGGGCAGCAGGCGTGAATAGTGAAAACACGTTATGGATTTTAATTCATACTCTGGACTCTTGATCATGCTGACCAGATGCAATATGTTTGTTCTGGCAGGTAAATGTCTCCACTACTGAATGTGTTTAAATCAGCAGTGTCACATATTCTGTCAGTGGGGGATGGTTGACATGGCTGACTGAACCTCGAGCGACAGCTGAAAGATCACAGGATGTTTGTTTTGCAGACAGAAATCTTTAGTGAAGAGCTTCTACACTCAGCATTAACATCACACAGAGTAAATGAGGTTTTATAGATGCTGCTTGGCTTCAATCAGACCTCAGAAAGAAGTCTGTTCTGCCCCCTGCAGTAAGACAACAGACATAACAACCTCATGAACTTTTCCCAAGTTGGTAAGACAAAAAAAAATTGCTATTGTTCCTGATTGTTTTAATTGCAGTTGTAATAGTTTATACTAGTGATCAGTTGCCCGGCAACAGGCTGAAAGTCCAGCTGTTCATAAAAACACTCAAAGTGAAAGTTGAATGTGAGCAGACCCAACCCACACACTGTGTCTAAAGTTTAACTGATAAATGAATTATAATTTTGCCAGCTTTAGATTTTAATTAACAGGTACATCAACCATGGAGCCAATATAGCATTTATTGGATATGTGTTGCTGCTGGTTTAAACTTAATTTAATGCTGCAAACTGCATTTAATTACCAGAGCAAAGTTAAGCTCACAGCTTATCAGTGATTTACACTTTTTGGCCGTGCAGCCTGACACATCATGCAGCAGGTATGTCGTCTTCTGAATTTAATTTTGCCCATTCTCCATGTTTCAACTTCTATTTTAAAAGAAATTATCACCTTCTAGATTAAAAGTATGCTTTTATTTAGACCACTGATATAGTTTAGTAATAGTAGTAATGAAGTTATTTTATAAGTTTTGGCGTCAGTGGAAACGTTAACATGTAACGTCTGTGTTGAAAAAAGTGAAAGTTAAGATTTAATTTATTTAAATAAAAATCTAAAGAAATCCACATGTGAGTATTTCATTATTTCTGGCAGGATATTGTGGTGATTGTTTCCTTTATGTTGTTTTTTTTATATGCAACACATAACATACCAACAGCATACGCGGCCTAACAAAGTTAATGCATAGATGGGTAATTCAAAAACTTCATACACATGAACTTACCTGAACAACTATATATATAAGATTCAAAAAACTAATTTAGATTGGTCAAAAATTGCATTTTTAAATCAGCCAAGGCACATAAATCTCAAAATATTTTTAATATTAAAGGAGCATTCAATTATACTTTTCCACTGTATCTTGAGCTTCACACAGAGGCACTAAAGGTAAAAATAAAATAAAAAAATGAATAACAATAAAGAGAATGCTAAATACCAACACAGCCAACATCTGGATTTCCTCATGTTTATTTTGACATCGAATAGCAAGCTTGTCGTGAAAGTTTGTCGTACTGTCCAGGACAAAATAACGATTAAGGTTCATCCATCTATTTACATTTCTCGCGCACACACACACACACACACACACACACGTGAATTTTTACCATTGAAAGTCAACAAAAATATAACTTTAGATCAAGCACTTTTAAAGACATTGTAATGTTAAAAAATCTAAATCTTCAAATAAATCCTGTAAAAAATATATAAACTGTTTCAAAGGAAACAACAACAGAACAACAAACTAAAATAAAAAAGGAACACATTGTACAGTGTTGGTTCAGTAAATGGGAACATAATGTGAGATTAAATAAAAAATCAACTAAAATGTATCACAATATTCCAATAAACAGGTAGTAAAACACCACAAAGGACTAAAGGGGTGTATTTTCATCATTGTTGACCAAGAATAAACGCTAATCAATTACAGAAGTGATCTAAATAAATGTATTTTAAGTACAATTCTGAGATTGTTCAGATTAAATTATCTGTATGTGGACACAGAGTTTTATTTCTTTCAGTGAAGTCGTTCTTTTTCCTCCCTCCCGTCTGACTCAAGCTTCCTCTGAATCTCCTCTCGCTGTCTCTCTATCTCCTCCAGTTGTTTCTCAATTTTATTAACCTCATCCATGGTCCTCTTCATTAGATTATCTGTGTTCAGTTGCAGTTCTTGGTGTCCTTTCTTTCTTTCCTCCAGTTTCCAGTTGACCTCTGTAATAATTTGTCTGAGTTTTAAGTATCCCTGTGCTTTGTTAACTGTTATATCTCCGTTCTTTTCTGTTACCTCTTTCTCTACTGACTTAACCTTATTTCCATTCTCCTCCATAAGTCTCTCTGCCTCCTCCATTTGTAAGGTGAGTTGCTCTTTCTGCTTCACCAGTTCCTTCGTCAGGTCTTTCAGTATCTCCACAACCTGTGTCATCTCTTTCTGTTCTTTCCCTTTCTTCTGTAGCTCCTCCTTCATTATCTTGCTTTCTGTCATGAGCTGCTCTCTGCTTCCTTCTCCTTTTAGTCCATCTGTATTTTTGTGGTGCATCTTCCTCTCTGTGTAGAAACAGAAGCAGTGTTACACAACAGGCTACCCTTTACAAACAGGACAGAAATATCTGCACCATACTTTTCCTATAGGAAACATTTAATTTCCAAAGAAATAAAAAATAATTTAAACAAGGAATTTTTTGACTGGTGTTACGATGACGGTAACAAGAAGTCAACATGGAGCGCATGTTTTCATCTACATGATGAACTGAAAATATATTTTAAATAATGTGATCAGAATATTGATAAATGAACAATGTGTTAACTTTTATGCTGTTTTGCGATGATTCGGCTCATATTATTATAACCATGTGTTCAAAAACCATTATTAAAAAGTCACATTATTTTTTTGCTTACCGATTTTGTTTTGTCTCAGTTTCCAGACAAAAAGGACGACTGTAAGAATAAACAGGAAGCAAAACAACACGCTGGTGGCAATAGAAGAAGAACAACTTGATGGGGCCATGAAGAAATCCTCTGAAATAATAAAAATACACTTTGTTCTTAACTGTACAAAACACAAGTTGTGTGTGTGTTATTTTAGAAATCATCCCTACCTGGAACATAGATGTGAGTGTCTCTGGTCTGGTTGATGTCCTTCTGTTGGACTCTACAGGTGAAGTTGTTGCTGTGTCTCTTCTCCACAGTCACTCTGCTGCTGACAGTATAGAGGTCATCAGGACCTCTGACTGTCTCTGTAGGTCCAGCAGAGAGGAGGTTTCCCTCACCGTCCAGCCAAAACACCTCAGGCTCTGGATACCAGCCTGCAGACTCACACTGTAACACCACACTGCTGCTGGCCTTATGGATGCCCGCTAAGCTGATAACAGGTGAGGAGACAGCACCTGATGATCAGAGAGAGAGAGAAGACATTTCAAACACAAATCCAATCCATGAATGATGTACAGCATCCTTTCTACCTCAGTCATCACACACACATGGTCTATCCTCCAACTGGGACCCATGTATAGGCCCATTTGAACATTTTAGCTACAAATTCTTTATGAAATATAAGAACATTACTGGGCTTAGGTCTTATTTGGACCTGACCAAATGGAAATAATGTGTATGTTTAACAAGCAACAAACTTTATAGTAACTTTTGTTGGAGAAAATCAAGGCTGTCAAAGGTTTTATGGTATACACACATTGGCAAACATTTGCCCACTTTGTGTGGCTGTGGCTCTTAAGGTAGAGCGGATTTTCCATTAATTGCAGGGTTCGATTCCCTCCCTGCTTCTCTGCATATTGAAGGCAGTGAACTCTAAATTGCTCCCAATTTGTGCACATATTTGTGAACATTACTTATGTTATGGGGACTAGAATTCCTGTTGTAGGGCAAAACACAGGTTCACATAATGTAAATCATAAAATTTTAGGGTGAAGACTTAGTTTAAGATTAGGTTAGGTAGGGTTAGGAGTAGACAAGTAGTGGTTAGGAGGTTAGGGTGAAGTGCTCATGAATGCAAGTCAATGCAATGTCCTCTGAATTGATGGAAACACGACTATGAGAGGCAAAATTTATTGCACATTGTCCACTAAGTTAGAACAGTTCTATATGTAGTACAGTCCAGTCGATTAACTTACCAACAAGAAGCTTCACAAAATATTCTTTGCCCAGTTTTGGGATGTAGCATCTGTACATCCCGTTATCAGAGACGTTAACTTTGGGGAGTTTCAGTGAAAGGTCTCCATGTTTCAGTTTGTCAATGGACACTGATGCTCTTCCCTTGTAGGCCTTGTTTTGGTCAACCAGAAGTTCCTGACCATCATGCCACACGTAGACAAATCTGGGGTCCAGGTCAGGTCGACCCCACTCCAATGTCATGGAAACAGCGTCTGTGGGAGGCTTCAGCTGACATGGCAAAACAATGTCATCACCGAGCATTACCATGACGGGCTGAGGTTGACCAATCTCCTGCGACTGACCTGGAATAAAGTAGGTATATTTTACTTTTTTTTTTCTCAAACCAAACAAATTCACCATAAACATGAACTGTTGAGCATGTTCTGTTGTGTTGTTACAATGTCAGATTTAGAAACATTTCTTGTAAGCATCAACACTGTTTTAGAGGCACAAATAAGCTCATTTGACTAATTGATTTATTATTCTAGTCGTCTTAGTCTTGATATATTTTGATCTTATCTAATAGTTTCTGTTAGACCTTTGTAACTCTAATCACTCCAAAACAACATATGTTCAAATATGTCTGCAGTGAGAATGTAATTCATCATACATGCATTTAGTATTATTAAAGTGATTAACATAAGGCACTCGGGAGATGAGTGACCTAACAAGCATTACATGCAGTTGTTTTGGGATTTCATCCTCACATGGTTGTGAATTAGCAGAATTGTTTTGCTTTCACATCGTTTAGATTGAAACCCAACAAGAAAGACTTACTGATCAAATGTTTCACTTTAGCTGATGCCTTAAGATAAAGCTTCTGAAAATCTAGTTTCATAGCTTTCATATCCAAGCATTTGTCTACAACATTTAATACTGTTCCTGTTAGTCTACTACTGTCAGCCATCTAACTCTGTGAATATGCAAATAGTCCTACAAGAATCACAATTACTTCTTCTTTACTCATTCTGTATGTGCACTGGAGGCTTGTAAGTTTCTGGACCACGCTTGGCTTCATTACATTTACATTTGTGTTTAAGGTACCTCCACAAAACTGTGTCAGGAGAAGGATGACAACAAGCGGTTTGAAAGATAATCCATCCTTGATGTGAACCATCCTGGGTGCTAAAAAAAAATTAAATACACAGTTATCAAAAATGATATCTGCATAATCTGTGAGTAAATGTTGACCAATGGTAACCTCAAAAATTTGCCTGTTACAAACTTTGAAAGAGACACATTCACAAGTACCATTCAGACGGGGTTAATTTTACAGGGAAAGGTGGACAATTAAATACATATTTTTAAAATGAAACTCAGAGATCTAGTTTGAACCAGTCAGTTCAAACTAAAACAGAAGAACAGTAGGTCATTGTGGCGGTACTGGGGAGGGGTGACAAATTACACTCTCACATTCAGTTTGTCGAGAAGAAAGACCTGCTTTATTTATGTTTATAATATGAATATGAAATGTAATTACAATTTGAAAAGCCCACATACCTGTTGTGTGCGTGCTGCCTCACCTCACAGTTAGCTGCACGGTCAAAGTCCTCAAACAAAAGGATTTGTACTTTGAATGTGTATAAAAAGAAGAGGTGTGTTCACGTTGCAGCATTTACATACAGGCTCGTACGAAAATCCAGCGGGCTTGTCTGTTTGTTCAGCTATAATTACAGTTTACTAGTTAGATTTAAAAATATATATATCACACATATTGAGAATGTGTTTATACTTTGACACTCCAACTAAAAATCCTCTATATAATTGAACACTGCAGTTGTGGGTAATCATTAAAGTTAGGCCTTACAATCACATAGAAAACTAAATAACATAAAATCCAAAGAACATCAGCTTTGAAGTCAGGGTTTGCTGACGACCGGCTGTTTTATTATATTAGAGTAAATATGCACTGAGTGGTTAATATCTGATCTCAGGCCAACGTCCACACAATAAATGGAGTTGAACATCTGTCTCAACAAATGTCCGCACTGATTGGATTTTTCATTAAAATGATGCAGGATAAGCCTGTGTTTAAAAAATCGTTCAGCGCCCTTTCAAACTTCAGTCTTTAACCAGTCTGATCATTGTTCATTGTTCAAGAGGAGGAAACCAAATATAGAGTATCAGCGGCACTAAATAAACTGAACACAGAGCAGACAATATTATTGTTTTTTTAATAAAAAATGTTTCAACAAAGTCCCCTTCAGAACATTTCACAAGATGCTCAACGTTTTGTAAAGGTTTACATATTAGATGATGCTTAACAAAGTAAAAAAAAAAAGAACCACAACAGATTTTCATACTCAAACAAGTAATAAGTTCAGTCACTCAGTCAAGAAAAACTTTAAGCTGCACCTTTTTGTAATAATTCCATCTCTTCCCTGATGTTCTTGAGGACAAAACCTGAGCTAATTTATTTAAATCTTTTATATTAATACGACTGATGAAAAAAGTATGCACACCTTTAAGGACCCTGTAGCATGTTAAAATAATTAAGATAATAAAATAAATTTTCTATGTTACAGCAGATCTAAACACTCTCGTAGAGCATGAACCAATTCATCTGTAGCTTTACATTTGTGTACTAGTAATAATCTAACTTTATTCTCGAGACAGTTGGTGCATTCACGTAACACATTTTTCTCTCTACCTAAAGTCAAAGTTGCATGTCTACCTCCTTCATTCTGTGTATTCTAGTGAACTGAATCTCTATTGGCTCCAGCAGCCTCTCAGTGTTCAGTAGCTGTCTCTCATTATCTTTCTTTGTCTGGTCCAGTTTCCACTGGACTCGCAATAAGTCTTCCTTTTCTCGTAATAATTCCTCAGGTTTGTCAAAGGTCATCTCTCTTTCAGTTATTTCTGTCTCCACTGCCTGGAGCTTCTGCTTGTTTACTTCCCTCTCCCTCTCCACCTTCTCCAGCAGCTCTTTGAGTCGACCCCTCTGGTTCTCCAGTTCAGTCTTCAACTCCATGAGTGTAGTAACCACATCCTCCCGCTCTTTCTCTTTGTTCAGTGACCCCTTTTGAAGCTCTGTATTTTCATTCACCATCTCTAATTTCTCACCTTTTGTGGAAAAGCAATGTGGAAATTCAATAAAAGAGGCATTTTAGTAAACTTTAAACAAAATATAATTAATTTCACATTTGTTTCTCTGATAGCATTTAGCTTGTAACATTAGATATGCAACAAATGAGACAAATTTTTTTGGGATAAACCGAGAGATGGCATTAGAATTAAATGCACACAACAAAACTTTAATGCAAGATTCAGCTGCATGAATGATCACTTAAAAATAATGTTGTGAAAGGTATTTTCACATTATAAATTATTCCTGCATTAATATTATATTACTGTAAATAAATCATGCTGAAAATCGTGATATAATAAGGGTGACTTACGTTTCCATTTGTAATTGGCATAAACAGCTACAGTAAAGGTAAGAGCCAAGTCAACCAGGCCAATAGACGAGCTCATGTGGCCAAAGACTGTGGAAATGGATGCAACCAAATCAGCTGTAATGATAGCAGAACAACAAATCATCCACTGAAAGAACTTTTAACAACAAAAAACTATGACATATATCTATTTATCAATATACAGTATATCTATATATAATACCACCACTAGACAGTTAAACCAAAATGTTCAAAATGCGTGTAAGTTACCTCCAAAAGTGTGAATAACAAGAATGAAGAAAACCGTGTCAAGGCTGAAGGCGGTGAATGCAGGTTTAAAGAACAGTCGGTCATTCAGGTTCCTCTTTGTGGAATTCTGAAAAATAAAATAAAACAGCTGTAAATCCCAGAAAGAAAGTGATATGTGGAAGAAAAGGTATTGACATAAGAAACAGTTGGACTAATCAAAATAAATATATTGTAAAATAGTTTTTTGATGAATAAAATAATAACGTTGAATAATGTTACAATATAATCACAATACACAACACAAATAGGATAGAAAATAACTTTTTTATGGGTGCGCATGCCTGACTTCCAGTACATGCATAGTGTCATACATTCGCTAGTTCACACTTTTTATTCAGTGACAATTATGTTCATATGCAACTATTTTTCATTGTCAATGAAGAAAACTGTTAAGGGAAAAGTTATATATAGTCTTTCTCTGCTTCTGTGGCCTGCAACACATTCTCTGTCTTACTTTTTTAATAAGTAACGGTGTGAGTCTCACTGTCAATTTCTCTTGCTCCTTCTTCTGTTCAACCAATGTAGTAGGAACTTTTTCCCATTCTTTGTTGTTCTCCTGTGACTGTCGTTGAAACTGTGGATTTATCGTGTCATTCTCTGTTTTCTCATCTGTTTGGAAATGATCAAAAATCAAACAGGACACAAAATCACATCAGCATTGTAACAGTAAAACTAAACACAGTGAATTGTTAGCCAAAAATAGAAAATAACAGCAAATAAGACAATTCACCAAAGCCTTTCATTCTAAAAAGAAACATTACAATACAAACACATTAGAATACAAGCACACTTCTTCTTTTGTGATCATAAGTATTCATATCACCTTAACCATCAACCGTGACTTACATTTCCATGTGGACAAAGCCACAAAGACAGTTGCAAGAACAGACAGGAAGGTATAACGCATGATGACGATGATACAATACTGTGGGCAGAACTGGATGAGCGCGAATCAGCTGGAAAAATAAAACACAAAACAACTGTATGTAGCTCCTACAGCATAACACATATGCTAAACATCCAGGCATGGGTAGAGTGTAATGTTTGGATACGTAATCACAAAAGTGAAACCATTTGCTGCTGCAGACAGCTGGCATGCTCTTTAAAATCCGACTTTAAATTAACAACAAGAAGAACAACAAAAACAATGAATATTTTACATTTAAAAAACAAAATCATTGTGGAGACAAACTGGAGTTTTTGGAAATACTAATATTTAGATTGGTGGAGCTCGAGCCTGGTTTACATGATATTTGATAATATCTTGATAACACTATATTTTGAATCAATGCTTACAGCTTGAGGAGTAATTTAAAAGAATTGAAATTTCAAAAGAGAACCCTACCTGCTTTGTGCATTAAAGTAGCCTCAGAGTAACATGCTGTATGTTACAGTCACGGTCAAACTCCTCAATAAACTTACTTGTACTTTGAACCTGTATAATCAGGTAAGGCGTGTTTACTTTGCTGATTTTACCACCTGGCAGTAAAACACCATGAAAATTTTCTCCCTTTAACAAAAACAAACATAGATCACACATTACTCAAGATTTAGCTTTTCTCCACGGGCTCCCTGTCACTTTCAGGGCTGAGTTGAACGTTTTACTCTCGACATAAAAGGAGTTGATTAGGCCACTTTGTACCTAAGGGGTGTCACTATCTGATGGTTCTCTGGTCAGTATAATTATATATTATTAAATGCAGAGAAGGAATTTTGCTACATGTATAGTAAATGTTGAAATAAAGTATCTTTACATTCACCATTGCAGTCAGCTCTTAGGTTTTCAGAGCAGAGATCTGCATCTGAATCCAAAGCTATCTGTAAAAAAACCCATCTTAAAACCAGTCTCTCCTGATTATCTTGAGATAGCATTGCTTTAAAAGTCCAAGTTGTGGCCTGCTGGGATTCATCTTGTTGAGAATCCAACAGTGATTAGTGGAAAAAGTAAAACTTCCTGAGAACCTTGTTTGATTCGATTTTATTTAGATCTTTAAAATGTCAACAATAAAGAACTGATCTTGAACAAAAAACAGACAGTGATATTATGAAATACAGATGCCAAACAAACAAATTACAATACATATTTTTAACACATTGGCTGAACTGAACTGATTAATTGATCTCATTAGATCCATCATAAATGTAGACCATTCAGCTGCACATGAAGTGAAAGTGATTCTCATTCAAATTGTCCCAGCAAGCATGAATTCATTTTTCTGTAGTTTTACATGTGAGCAATGAAATGTTTGTGAACTTTATCTGTTCAGCCTCACCTGTTGGACTTAAGCCAATTTTGCTCTGATTGTTTTTACCTTTGTGTCTGTTCGGCTAATCTAACCATATTTGAACATCCCTCCTGTTAATTCTACTAAAGTGAAGCTCTAATGGCTCCAGCAATTTCTCTATGTACATTTTTGGTTTCTCACAGTTTTTCTTTTTCTTGTCCAATTTCCACTGAGCCTGTAATAGGTTTTCCTTTTCTTTTAATAATTCCTCTGGTTTCTCAAATGTCATTTCTTTCTCTGTTATTTTAGTCTCCACTGACTGAAGCTTCTTCTTGTTCTCCTCTTTCTCTGCCTCAATTTCCTCCAGTTCTCCTCTGAGTCGATCTCTCTGTTGCTCCAGTTCAGTCTTCTGTGTGGTAAACACCTCTGACATGTCATGTAGTTCTTTCTTCTTTTTTTGTAATTCATTTTGAAGTGAAGCTTTGTCACCTTTTGTAAAGAAAATATGTGACATTAAAACATACAATAAAGAAACAACAATCCAGTGTTACCAAACAGAAAACAACATTTCAATAAGTTGGAGTAACATTCCCTTCCCAGATAGCATTTTGTACCAAAATGAGACATTTGAAATGAACTGAATTGAATGAAAGTAAAATGTACATTGAACTTAACATACTATTTAAAATAATGATAATAATTAATACATAAGAAGAAACACTGGGTTGGTGCTGTGAATTAGTGTAACCGTCAATGAGCTGTGACTTACGTTTCCATTTACACACAACAGCGATGGCTATCAAACCCCCAATAGCCAGGCCAACAAAGCCACAAACCAAGGCCATGGGAAGATAGGAGTGAGAAAAAAAACAGGATTGGCCCAATTTAGCTGTATTATCACCCGCTGATGAGGCATCACACGCTGATGAGGCATTACCTACGAGTGAGTAAGAGCATAAATGTCATTTTAAGCATGGCTGTTGTCATTAACCTGTATTTATGTTGATTTTTTTCAGACGACGCCCTGACCATGAACTGATGGGCAAAACACAAAACAGCGTTTTTAAATTTAGACAGTCGATATTGTCTTTGATGAATAAGGAATCTTAGATTCAATTTATCTCAATTCATGATTTAACACACAAGGTTATTGAAATGATCAAAACAAAGTAAATCACAGAAAAGGAAACGTAATGCCGCTGTACAAAATCAGAAAGCAAACTTGTATCACACACCAGTGTTTTACAGATGTGTGTGTTAGTCTACAAGTGTGTGTTTTACAACAACACTTCGACTGAACCCCCCCCCCTCCCCAGCAAAACGCTTGTCTAAAGTACTCACTTTTCATCAGATCATCCGTCTGTAGAGACATACTGGAGCTCTGAAAAGTGATATTCTATAAACCAGCAGCAACATGTTGATGTTTAAAGAAGAGAGCATTTGGAGAAGAAAAGCATTCTGGGTGATATTTATATAAACTAATGTTTGTTAAACAGTCAATTATGATAGTAGAATCTTTAAAGTAAAGTAGAATATTTATAATATTTTGCTTTTAATGCATTTTGTATTTGTTCATGCAACTAACTCAAAACTATTCAAAGGTAACCCGTAAGAGAGAATAAATCCACCTGTTACGGCAGACCTGATTTTATTTCACTAATAGGCAACGATGATTCATTTGTAGTTAAAACTTAAAACTTTCTTTTAAAATTTTCTAAAAGCTTACCTCTCATGTGCGTCAAAGATTAAGCTCACCTTAGAGTACAGTGAGCCTCAGGTCAAAAATCCTGCAATAAATGATCTGTGCTTTCACTTTGGTCAACTGTAATCAGATAAGGTGTGTTCACCCTGCAGTTCCTGTGATATATTAAATGAGACTTAAATAGACTTACATAGATTTGTAGCAAAGTCCAACAAAGGTAGCATTACGAAACGTAACGGAGTGGAGGAAGGATCAATGAGTAAACAATATTACATTTTATTTAGCTTAGCTCATTCATTATTTAGCTGACTGGAATTTCTCTGATGAATGATAAGTGCTGGAAGCCCATTACATTAGATGTTAAATAAGTCGGCTAGAGTTATTTAGCTGTAACCGGACAGGAATAAATGCAGGTAGCAATAACTTAAGATGAAAAGATGGATCAAACAGATAGCCTAAGACATTTTACTCATGGACCTTTGATTGTAAAGTCATAGTCAGTATAGCTATTATTTATCCATTTATATTTTTTTTTCAGTGGAAAAAAATACAGTTAATCCATTATTAATAGATGGAATTTCTCAAAAAATATTGCTCTTTTATACTTCTATATTTATCACATTTTAGAAGAAAATGTGTATCTGTCTCAACCTCACCTGTCACTGCTCAGACTCTATATTCTCTTGGTAACCAGGACTCTTAATGTCTGCCTTTTTCAATTGCAAGGGTGTGGTCACTGAGTCGGTAAGAAGCTGCCTCTGCTTGATCTATGACAGTAGAGAGATATCCAGCCATTTCATAATCTCTGTTTAGGGCCAGATAACAATCTAGTTTGTGTTTGTTCAAGATAAGTATTTTTGAAAGATTCTTTATTAGTCCATCGTACCAAATTGAATCAAATGCCTTTTTAAAATGCTTTATTGGCATGGATGTTCACAGAACAGTATTGTCAAAGCTTCAAGGAAAATACAAAGGAAGAATTCAATTCATACAGTTAAATGAAATAAAAGTAATAAAACAGTAAACAGGTGTCTGTGTGTGTGTGTTTTAAAAAAACAATTCAATATATATAGTTAATCTAATAATTATCTCTCTCTCTCTCTCTCTCTCCCCCCGTCCCTCCCAGACGTTCGCCCACCCAGGGTCTAGACCTGTTTTATATGAAAAGTGCAATGAGATAACTTTTGTTGTGAATTGGCACTATATAAATAAACTTGAATTGAACTGAAGACTGACACAGAAGGACACTTTTTGTTCCTCATTCTCATCCAACAAACAGTAATGAACTGTGACCACAATTGTTCTCTAAATTTAACATGATGAGGAAGGTTGACCAACCTTAACTACGTAGCTGTTTTCTGACCTTTCCCAAACCCTATACAAGTTTTTGTGCTTATACCTAATCAAAGCATGCCATAGTGTTTTGATAGCAAAGACAGACACTATCTTCCTGCTGCTATGGGCATCAGATCTGAAAACATAAGGGTCTTTTCGGAAGACATTTACAGAGTGTCTTTGTTAATTTTGCTTGGAGGACTTACACTGTCACAGACAAATTACTGGTAAATGCCAATTTATCCTGACAATTTGTGGTTTTACGTGAACCACTAGTTTTATTTTGAAAGTCTAACTGGAGAAGGCATATTTCTCTTGTTGCTAACTTGACCACAGAGCCCTACACATACAAAAACAATGCAAAATAGGTACCATTAACAAGCAATGCCAAGAGGTCTTGATAAATTGTCCATATGTGATGAGTTGGGAGGGAGCTTGCGTTGGTGATAGTCTAGATCCTCAACGTAGCTGTCTTTCAAAATCCAAACTGTTTTTGTTTTGTTTTATCTCCACTACAGCTGCTCTGCCTCATGTAGATATTTCTAGATCAACAGTTGAAACCTGCTGCTGCATTGTCACCAGAAATAATAACAGGAAGAGGAGGACCTACATTATGTCTAAGCTGTAGTTCAGTCTGAAGCTGTGACAGTCAGCAGTAAGACACCATGGACCTTACAGCTCTCTGCATGAGACTACGTGAGTACTGAGACTTTTTGTAACGTTGTTACTAGCCTGACTTTTATAGTGAGCAGATAATTTGATAAACATCTCTCTTCGTCTCTCCAGTGATGGATGTGTTGGTGCTGTTTGTTGCACAAGTTGACTGCAGTTACTTTGCTCAGAAAGCTGGTAAGCTGGAGTTAACTTAATTTGTTTAATTATCTTAATCTTGCTGATATGTGCCTTTTGTTTAAACCTCAGCAACAACAAGAGACTACCATCTAAAGTACGTAGGGACCAAGAATAGATTAAGTTGAAGTCTGTACTCATGTGTGAGTGTAACAAAATGGAACATGGTTCTATGAAAACACACTGAGCTCCCTAACCATGTGACTTTGCAGTTTCACAAACTGCTAAAATGTCCTTATGATTGATTTGTTTTAATGTTATACTATTACTAATTAAGGATCTTGTTTTTGTAAGTGGTGTTTAATTGATTAATTTTCTGTGTCTCAGATGGAGCTTTTCCTCGTGTTTCTCCAGACAGACAGCAGTTTTTTGAATATGAGACTTTCACTGTAAAGTGTGAAGAGCTCGGTGGCTTGACTGAATGGAGAGTCATGAGGAAGCTCCTCAAATCAATTACCACAAATTATTCTAACTGGAACTCATCTGCACCATCCCGCACCATTTATCCTGCCTTCCAAAGACACAGTGGAGAATACTGGTGTGAAAATGCAAAGGAAGAAACAAGTGGTGCAGTCAACATCACTGTCACTGGTATGTTAAGCAAATCGTATATCTAGTAGAGTTTTCTATTTATTTGAGGCAGTAAGCCATAATAAGCCTTAACTCAGTGTTTTGGAAATGGTCCACACTTCAACAATAAAACTTGCCTTATGTAAGTCAAAAAACATATTTAGGAAGATCCTATTAATCTTAAGGAATTATTTGAAGAATTTAGTTTTTACATATTTGTTGCTAACCTTTTTCGACAGACAAAGAATTGTATATTTCTGTCTTTTTGATAAAGCATAGTTTAAAAAGTGTGATGTCTGTCACACTTGGCTGGTTTAAGGCAGCCATGTGGGAAATCCAACCAAAATTTCTGACATGCCAGAAATTGTCCAAGAACCAGATCATTGATCAGGCAAATAATCCGGCGTCATCACCACAAACTGCACATCAAAGGACAACTCTACAATTCTTTGATTGGCAGAGATTAGGTTGGGTTCTAAAATTTGTCAAGGGCGACCAATTCAGGGCTAAAATAAGGCTGCCTGTCTGGCTTAATAGAGGCAGTATAGGTAGAACTTTCTCCACTAACTTTATCTAAAAAGGCTGGTATTTAGAGAAAATACCCTGAGAGTTGGAAAATGCTGCACACAACTCAAACCATTTAATTTTACAATGAGTTCAAGACAAAAGGCACTTTTGAGTGACAGAATACTGTGTCTAGGAAGATGCCTTAAATCTGCCCCCTCATATGGCAATAAATATAAATACATAGTACACAACAGGATACTCATTATGGTGTCCAAATTTCATATGTTCATTTTCTACGAACTTGACTGATGTTTTCTAATAAATATATATGATGTTTAACATTAAATATTTATTCATCACTTTGTTCAGGTGGTTCTGTGATCCTAGAAGTTCCTGTCCGACCTGTGGTGGAGGGACATGATGTGGTTCTTCAATGTAGAAACAAGAAAACAGATTCAAAACACATTGTTGATTTCTACAAAGATGGTTCACAACTCGGGACGTGGTATGAAAACAAAATGACCATCCGAAACTTTTCAAAGTCTGATGAAGGACTCTACAAGTGCAGCATCTCTGGGGCCGGAGAATCAGCAGAGAGCTGGCTGGCTGTTTTAAAACAAAGTAAAGCACCCTATGAGGATAATCATCGTGTTCACAGTGGCTCCACTGATCTCCTCTCCCCGCTGTGGATTGTTGTTGGTGTTTTATTTGTGGCTCTGCTGCTGTTGGTGACTGGGCTGCTTCTTTGCAGGAAACACAGAGGTACATTTTTCTCAGTTAAGTTTACATTGCACTAATTTGTTTTTTCACGTTGTAGTGGCAAATGTAATCACAATTATTTTCACAGGTTATATTTTTTAGAGTTAATGAAGTGCTACATTTACGTACTGCACTGGAGTCATGTGGAAGTTGTAATCAGAGAGCAGATATTTTGGTGAAAACAAATTAAAATACATGTTGTCAGTGAA